CACGCAAACATATTCATGATTGTCAAATTCAATGCTAAATTTCTTAATGAACGTTCCATCGCACTATTGAGACTCCGTTCGCCTTATTGTATGCCTGTTCGCTCTAATGACAATGCTTCTTCGCTTCAATAAATATTCCTTTGCGGTTAATGAACAGCAAAAGGTGTACTTGCACCTGAGATAGATATTTAAAAAAATATGTTTATGTGTGGTGCATTTGCCTATGTCTAAAGGCTGCTGTTCTTAACACAGAAGAGGAATCGGCTTGGAAGCCAGTGGGAAATATTTTTACTGTCTTGAAAATATTTTATTGAAAAGAAACCGGTGTAAAATGATAATTTCTATTGAGGTAAGCTTGAGCTGATTATGAATCATTGGTTAATTTTAAGGTGGTTTAACAGTCATGTGAGGAAACAGTAAATCAGTTTCATTACCATATGAATAATGATAATAATAATAATAATATGACGTTCTTGGAAACACATTACACAGAGTCTCTATGCTATGGCGCACAGAACTGTGAAAGGGACTAATTCCAATGGGTTAAATTTAACTGCTGCAACAGTGATTGGTTCACTAATATCTGGGTCTGAACCATGAATGCTTAGGTCTTCATCATTTTATTGGTATAACTCTTGGAAATATTAAAACAAATGTTGAAGCCCCATTAAGGGTTCAATGTCCACCATCTAAATTTCACAACTGCTTGTGTCACAATTTCTCAAAACTATGTGTCACTTTACATCTAACATGGCCTTGCTGTTGGTATGTAATTCGATTAATACAACAGGCTGACATTTGTTGCTAGTTCATGGCTCTTAATGTGTCAATGTTTCAAAGGCATGTCACTTGTAGGAATAATCTTAGGGAGTAAGTTTTTTTATTGGGGGGGGGGGGAGGGGGAACGTTTCTTAATGTTTGTGTCCAGCCTCCCTTTTTTACTCATTAAGTAGAAAATTTATGACCCTCTTAGTCAACAAGCAACTTAGTAGCTTTTGTCAAAGTAAAATGGTTCGAACCTAAACAAAAGTTCACTCTTTCACTGATGATCCTCCCCTCTTAAGCACCAGTCCCCCTCCACAACTGAGATTCCAAAATTTCTGCATGTGTGTGTGTGTGTGGGGGGGAGGGGGGTGAATATGCATGTGTGTGGGTATATACGGGACTTGAATCAAGTTCAAGTTTATCATTGATGTGTCCATGCAGCCAATGATTTCCTCAATCCTGAACATGGTAAGTATCATTGGTTGACTGTTACGATCTAGAATGTGAATTAAGTCTTTACCAATAAAAGTTGAGGAGAAATTTCAAGTTTTCTTTTTCGATTTTGAAAGTATATCACTTTGGTTTGACAGTTCGTTTTGGAAAAGAGTAATGTCAATAACATAACTAATATAACCTTGAATTTTATACATTTTATTTTAAAACAGGATAGTTTTACAAAATTAATGTTACATTTGTGTATATATGAAAAAGTCCTACTTTTAAGACTGACCCCAATGAAGTTTAATGTAAGAAATGTCTAAGTAGAATGCATTTTAATAGTCATTTTGTAAGCTATCTCAGTTTTTTTACATAATTATCACAATAAATGATATCAATCCATGCAGTCACTTGGAGATCTGTGAAATCAAAAAATATATAAATAAATAAATGAAATATAAAGGTGTAATTAATATAAATATATTAATACCCGAGCGATATTTTTTCTCTATAGATAAGTTGAACACCATCTGGCTGGGCTACCAGTGTGGTTGGTCCTTGTAGTGTAGTGGTTAACACATCGGACT